TTTCTAGTAGCGATCAACGTGGTGCTCGTCAAACAAAGGCAATAGACTCTTTTCTTTATTATTTTTTTTCTTTTTCTTTATTATTTTTTTCTTTTTTGTATTATGTTTCTCACCCTACACCGGTAACGGTAAGGGTCTATAAATAAATAAATCAAAATAGATTGAACTTTTTTTTCGAATAGAAAAGTTCATTGATATGAACGGGACATGCTATAAAATCAGAATTTGATCACTTCCTATCCGTCTTCTACGAATATGATTAAAACCTCACAGAAATTTTGTTGATGAGTTATGATGATATCAGTGCATCAGAGAACAAGTCGAATTCATTTTACTGCATAGTCTTGAAAAATAAGCAAATTGATTACATAATACGCTGCTATAAATAGTTCCAAATAATCTTTCAAATTATAACAAGCAGTGATCAATAATTTTAAGAATTGAAACATCAAGTAAGCACAATCAAATTATAAGTTGCAGCAAGATAATGAGTATTTTACAAAGGAAAAAGTGCAGGCACCCAGCACCCTAGCACCTCAGCACCTGTTCGACACCTTTGTCGTATTTCACTATGAGCACCTTCAGCACCTGCAATCACTCTTCCATTATCTTAAGTACTTTTTCAGCACCTGGTAATAAAATTTAAAGGGCAGAGGCTAGGCAGGTGCTGAGGTGCTAGGGTGCTGGGTGTCTGCACTTACCCCCTTGGTATTTTATATAGTATTATTTTTTGTTGTTCCTTTTAATCGTCACTTTCTCATACATGTATTCAGCATGTTCTAGGCCGATGACACTCTTGTCAACCGTATATACCCACCGCAAGATGGCAAAACCATTACATCCAAAATGTTGCACTAGTGTCATGATGATATATTGATTTCTATTGGTCATTTAATTCATTTTATCTATGAAGGAAAAAAAATAGATTTGAGTTAGTTAACTGAGAAAATTATTATTAAGACAGCATCCAAGATGGTAGCAGAAAATGATTTTCTGTCATTCTCTGATATTTGTTATCTATGTTCCCGAAAGTATTGAACAGAATAATTTATTTAGCGTGCTTGGAGTAGTTCTACCATCAATCAACAAGCCAAATTTAACTAAGAAATTTTTAATAAATTTTCATCTTTTCTCAAAGATAGCAAGCTCTTGACTATAGAAGATGTAACTACTCTTTGCTTATATTTTAAAGCTGATAACCAAGCAAACAATCTCTTATTCTCGTCCAATCAAGATATTAAGCAGATCATACAAACAGAACCTTTGGTTTTTCTACACGTCTTTGGCAAACATAGGAGAATTGGCGCTGACAATGCAAACTTTTTTTTCAAATAGAAAACTGTTCCTCATCATTATCACAATCATTCTTCGTTTCCTATATGTTAATTGTATTTATGTATGAAAGCATTGAAAAATAAGACGAGCTACGTGAACGCAGGAGGAATACAAGAAGTTGCACATTTTTGCGGATCGTAGTCATTATGAGATGGTTTAAGTATTGGGCTACGAGTCTTGTATTCAATAAATATGAAAATATTAACAAATTAATCCAATGAGCATCTGAAAGTTGGATAAAAGATCAGTTGATTTTTTTACTTTTAATTTGACTATGAAACTAGCTATTTTTGAAATGTTCATTGACTTCCATCCACATTCACAGTTCACAATGATACTCACATCTTTTTTTGTTAGAAATTGAATTTGGTGCATCGATAACTATTTATAACAGGGATACACTTAGATACATATCATTCTCTAAATCACTATCAATCGATAAGTTTCAATACACGTAAGTACAATGCCATTTGCAAGATCTTGATTGTCACTACATAGTAAACAATCACATCTACACTCTTCAACATGCCTTTCCTTTTGTTACGATTCGCATGCTATTAAAGACAAAGTAGGTTCAATTAAAGAATTACAAATGATTGATAGTGGCGATTTAATAAAATACGATTGCTTTCTTTTGTGAATGTCACCGATATTAGTGTCACTAAGAATTCAACTGTATATTTCATTTGGTTTTGTTAGTTTGTATACAAACTAGCATTCATATTACTATGTGGATTGGATTCCATGTGAAAATAAATACTATGCCTGGTACACTTATTTCTTCAATGATGATTTATGTCATTATATGAAAATTTGGATGTAAATTATGTAAAGATCTGTGAATAAATAAACATTATTTTGTGTTTGAAACAAAATTCATTATGTTGGCTTGAATTATGTACTTATGAATATGATTTATTTCATGTTTTCGAAGAACATTGATCGTGAGAGAAAGGAAATTTATCGAATTGCTAAACTAACATTTCAAAAACTCTTAATCTTAATTCTCTGAGTATAAGTTCAACATTAAAAATCCTCTTAAAGCATCGAAATCATTTTTCGATTTCTTTCATTTATTTATTGAATCAGATAATATATGTTGAAAGAAAAAGATTATCATCACGTTGAACACCATCAGGATAAAACAGACTTATAAGTCTTTGTTAGAGTTGCAGCATCTCGATATAATTCTTCTTGAACTAGACAAAGTCGATTTTGTTACCTCAGTTGATGCTGTTGAATGTAAAGCAGAAAAACAAGACGCTGGTTTGTGAGTATCTTCTCGAAACTTGGCTGCCCAAGAGTTAGGCTTTACACCCAATACTCCAAAACCAAGTTCATACAGTAACGAACTAAGAAAATCTTCATCATCAGCTGCTTTGATAAATTCTTGTGATGGTAACATCTTACATAGAAATGGAATAATAGGATCCTTCTCTGCTGTCTTGCTCAGTTCAAGTTCAATACGAAGTTTATCAATAATAGTATTCATACCGTCGATTGTCAATATAACACACACAACCAATAAAATTCGAATTATCATGTTATTGCCGACAATTATAGCTGCGTGACGTTAGATTATCAGTCGGGCACCTAAATGAAATAAAACATTACGTCATTCATGCTTTTTCTCGCCTCTGTATTGAAAATCTAAATCGAAACTTGCAGCTAATTTATATAGAGTTATAAAATGGAGTACTTGCCAACATGTAGATCGTTTTCATTTGTAAAAAGAAAAATGTTTGCACACGTTTCTATTTGATCGTATTACACAATACTCTTTATACAATTTCTCTTTGTGTACCACTCAATGAAAAAAGAGAGACTTTCTCACTCACAGTTTCTCATGATATGAAGAACAAGCAGGCCATGATGGTCATCAATTAAATTGAGAATGTTAATTTACAAATTACTAAGAACTGACTATACTGGGAACAAGCTACTTTCAAAAAAACACATGTATTCGTCTTTTTCTTTCTCAAAAGTTTTATTAAATCTATGCAGCTCATAGAAAGAAATGTAAACAATATGCCACGTTTCATTTCTGTCATTCACGACCATCAACGATGAATGTCCTTCGAAAATATTTCTTACAAAAGGTTGTTACAGAAGAATAGTAGAAAATTGATTTCGATGTGCGCACTCTAGAATTGTAAAGCAACAAATTCATTCGCAAACATAAGATTGCTTTTGGTTTTACTTATTTATGATGGAAGCATGAAGTTAAAAGATCAACAAACGAGTAATAAATAATCGAAGTATACAATTGTAGCACCTTGAGCAATGATATAAAATACAGATCATTCAGTTTTTACTAATTTCTATGAATTATGTTTTTTTTACTTAGATAAAGAAATAAGTAATTGAAATTAAGCCCCAATCTTCACTCAGAATGAACAATGCTCTTATAATATAACCAAAGCACTCACGGACACTTAGTTCTGCAGCTATACCACAACTGTCAATCAAATATGTAACCTGTTTGAAGTTTGAGTATAGCGAATCGAGATTTTTAGTACTGCATCGATGTCATTTGCACGAGTGAAAATTACTTTGAGCTGCACTAACCGTATCATTTTAACCTTTCAAACATCATAAAAAGTAGTTTGAAGAAGTTAAGCCAGCCATTCTTTCTAACAATTGAAGACATAATCAAGAAGGATTACATTATCGAAAAAAAAACTACATTTTTATGCCAATACGAATAACAGTCTAATTAATTAGTTGAAATTTTAAATACTGAGTAGTTTTTAGAAATAACAATTATTTAAGTTGGTGTTTCTTAATGATAATTTTGTTGTCTTTCGATTGGTTTTATAGACATTGAGTTCGACCAACACCACGATAAGAGAATTGATATTTGTATTCTTCTTATGATAGTTCTAAGTAATACTATTTAGAGATGTAATAAAACTTTGTGAAAAAAAAACAAAGAATCTTTTAATGAAAGCATGTATTACATAATGCGTGAATATCATATATACCGATGAATGTAAAGCAAATATTTTGCGATTATGTCTAGCAGACCTCTGTTCATATTGTTTTGACAAATTTCTTTTAAAAATGAGTTTGAACTTTATATTATTCGATGCACTATAATGTCATATATATCAGACTTGAAAATTGAATTCAATTATTCAATTATTGGACAATTCACGGTAAGGTTTTTAACTACTGAATCAATCCTGAAACTCAGTCACATGCGACCACCTATAGACAAGCAACATTGCCCCTTATGTAGGTCCCGCGAAAGGACTAGCTGATAGGACAATTTAATGAATAGTTAAAAAAGCTTTTCAATAATTGAATTCAACTTTCAGAGTTGGCATCATACGTTTAAGTCTTAGTTTTCTTTGAATGAATTATGATTGTAAACTGCCTTTTTTTTTTGTTAAGAAAGACAGTTGTCTCTTTTTTAGAAAATAAAAGATATATAGTGTCTCTACTCAAACATTAGAAGTCAATCAGGTTTGACTGCAGCATTTTATTCGTATAAATTTTAATTGAATGAAAACAAAAGAAGAAAAACACCAACTAGAATTTAGATTATGTATTCTAGAAATTCATATGATTAAAAATGATGTCGATGTTCATATTCTGTTCAAGAACAATGAAGATTTAAAACGAATTAGAGTAAGTCTTATTAAATGAATGAAACACAATGGTTACATAAGAAGATCTTGCTGAATTACGTTAATTGTTACTTGAAAATGAGGTTGTCGTCGAAGCCAATATTCAGCATGATTAAATGTTTCTTGAAAATTATAATCTTTCGTATCTGAATATTCAATAATACAGTTCAAATAAAGTCTTAGAAAGATTAAATATGGCAATTTATTATCGATTACTGTTTGCCATGTTATTGGTTCAAACATAATCTTCTTTTCTGTTTGTGCTGTTAATTTAAGAATTAAATATTTTAAATAAGGACATATATTTAAGAGTTGTTGAATTTCTTCAACTGTCCATTCATCTTGAAGATTCAATATTAGATGACTGAGCTTGGAAAGAATAATTGTATATCTAAAAAGATCTTTATGTGGAGCATGAAGAAAAGCTTTAAATTGACGAAGATTAGGACAATAACTCATAAATGTCAACATTTGACTAACTGTTATATACTCAAGAATAGCATATTTTAAAGCTGAGAAATCGTATGAAACTTCTTTTGTATTCCAATATCGTATATGATATGGTAAATGTAAATAGCGAAGACAATTACCATTAATAGAATTCATAATGACTGACCAAACTTGTTTATAAGCATCTATTGGATAATAATGCCAAGTAAAATATTCAACTGTTATTGATTCAAGTTGTTGCATAGGTAATTTTTCAACAAATGACTGTAATGTAAAAAGATCCATTTTTTTAAACGCAACAACTCGAAGTGCTGTAAAATTCCAATGAGAATATTTCATTGGAAATGAATGTAAATTTAAACCAGATAATGTAAGCGATCGACATTTGAATGAAAATCGCTGAATATTAGGATTATTCATTATCTTCGATAAATCCATGCATGTAGGATAACCTTGAATGACATTATTGAGACGTTTTTGTAAACCAAAAAATGCATGAAAAATTTGAGTAAATGTAAGATAGTTAAATATTTTTATTAACAAATCCGCACTCATATCATCAAAACACGTCATTACTATTGAATGACTCGAAAGAGATAATAGAAGATATGAAACAAAAATATGTTTGTTGTCAATAAATACTACGAAGACAATAGTAAAAACAGAAAAACATAAGTGACGAAATAAAAGCAATCATTAACATGCTCCACGTGTCTTTCTATTCTTATAGACAATCACATACTTTTAAATAATAAACGAATATTTATATTATTTTATAATTCTTTCTACCAATGCATCAATCAAGTTATATAAAGTTTCGCAAAATTACATAGCGTCTATTGAAATGCTTACAATGGTTATGAAAATCAACATAATCATCTCATAGACAATGTTAGAAAAAAACTATCTTTCCTTAATCTCAACTTCTTCAAGAAAACTTTTTTCACAAAACCTTATATCTTATTGAAAAATGAGTATATACTTCATCTATTGTTGTTCAAAGTCAGCTGAATCATATTAATATTACTAGAAAACAATCCAAGAAAAAAGATTTGTTGCTATCCTAAGAATTCTTCTGTTTATATGCTAAATTGAAAATAGTCATCAACATTGAATGAGGAATGTTTCTCTATGCGTACATGTAGTACAATTAATTTTTATTGATGTCCTAAATGGCCAAACAGTTTGATACAACTCGAAGCCTTTTTAAATCGAATAAACACACATGTATCTCGAAGCATGTAATAATCGTTCAGCATAGGCTCTCAGCTGTAACTGAACGACTTTCTTTGTTACATGATTCGTTCAGCGTCGATCAAAATGCTCGTCGATCGTTGCCATCGAAAAATCGTGTATTGTATAGAACATGATTACTAACTATTTCTTGAAGAAAGCAAATAGATTGGCTCCAACTCAGTTATTGCCTCATAGGTATTTCTCCATTCTAATAAATAAAGATTATGTAGGTTGTTGCTTCAATAAGGTGAACAATAAGGGATGTAATTAATGTATTAGTGGTCACTAGTTTCAGTATTATGATCACATTTGGACTTCATTGTGCACCTTAAACAAAGTAATACTTTGTTTCAACATATCATTGTAAACCCTATAGTTCACGGGGTTTTACTTTATCATTGTACGCTGTACGTAGGACGAAAGATGTTTTTTTTTGTAGAAAAGCAATTGTAGAGAAATCTTTATTTTTGTAGGCCAAGCAGTATGTAAATATAAACATTTATACAATCACTAATGATGAATTACCTTGTAAATGTGCATTTCTAATAATTGGATGTTTGATTTGCATTCTCGCATGGTTCTATAGTAGTTAAGTGTTTAATCACCTTCGTATGATCATATGGACAGTGTAGACAGTTCACTTTTAGCTGATTAATATGATTTTCAATGTTAGATAAAATATTCTCTTTCAATGTTTCTGCTTTCTTTATATATACTATCGTGTCGATTTGTTTTGATATGCAAAAAAAATTCTAAAATAAAATGTTTCTTTAAAAGTATATATTTTAATCAATAATGGCAATCTTTAATAAGAATTCCTTTTTTATTATATTCAAAAGTAACTGAAGTTACACAATACTTGACATCCTTCTTGTTTTTCATTTCAACTTTTTAAGGTAAAAAGATTCTGTTTACTATTACAGTGTCCAATGACTTTGTATAGTTTTTCTACATTCTTCTTAATAGAAAAAAATATATATGAATTATTGATTTTTTGCTTGTAGAGTTTGAATTTATCAAGACTATTCGTTAAAATGCAATAAGAATGGCAAAAGCCGTTCAATAAGAATAACAGCATTTTCTGAAGCTTATTCATTTTAACCTTGATTAACGAAACACGAATTAGAAAATATCTAGAATAGCGTCAAACTTACAGATCTCACGCCTACAATATGTATATCAAGTCAGTTCATGATGAATAAGTTAAAGAGCATTTTAACTAATACATATATAGCATTTCAACATTCCTTTTGGATCTTGGTCCTCAAAATGTAAAGACTATTACATGTTTCTATCGAATAATTCAAAATATGTGAAACATAAGCTTTTTTTGTATTGTCTCGAATGCTGCTTGTTCTATAAGATTTTTCGAGATTTGAATGTAATTACGTCTCTTATTTTATCAATATTTAACTGTTTTTTTTAGCTATGGATCTCATTGAAGTTTGTTAGAATTCGTCTCTTATTAAGAACATGCCACTGAAAAATTATCTAATCATAAGTAGACGAAGACTAGAGCTCTGCATCAGACTTCGATTTTGACGAAATCGGAGTGATATGTAAAGAGTTTTTGTCAAAGTCAATGTCGAAGTTGAATCATTAACAAGATCACGTAGTTTTACTTTTATATGGTAACAATATTTATGCTTGATATGAGCAAGTAGCACAAAAAAAACATGTATATGCTAATAAAAGATTTTTTGACTTCGCAAGGCTCTAATTAAGACTTTCATAGTCATTATGTTTGTTAATTTTACATGGAATAGGATGCGACTAGTTGCTTAAATAATTGATAACAAGTCATAAAATACATTTAATTATATGGTTTGATTATAAGAAAACTATCTGCGTGTCAAGAAGAAAATTTTTACAAGTTTATACTTATGCATTTATAGAAATAATTTTAAAAAGAAATATACATTAATAATATACTTGGTAAAATCTTTTGATACACTAGAATATAATGTAAAATATGTTTACAAAAGAAAAATAAAAGAGAAATATTGAATATAAATTGAATCATATCTCCGACAAAATAACAATACAGAATAATCATTACATGAAAAATTCTGGATTGAAAAATGCATATAAAAATGGATTGAGACATGAATTAAAATACGATAAAGCATGTGCAATAACTCTTATAGTCTCAAGTAATGAGGTATGATTATCATAAAATTCGTCTAACATTTGTCGACAATTGAGCAATTCCAATGTATGAATTGGAAGCCAACAAATAGCAAATGCACATGTTAATGAAAATAATGTACGAGTTATATGGCGGCGTTGTATTTGAACACATGCACGACTTAATAGATTACCCTAGTTTTTAATTATAAAATATATGCATAGAAAATTCATAATCTTTTTCGTTTATGAAAACTTACTTGATAACGAGTCATGTTTTTTGAACTTCTTCGCATATGAAAAAATAATTTTGTATAAGAAAGGGCAATAATTACTAGTGGTAGTACATAGTAAGCGCAAAATGGAAAAAAACATGAAGCAAATAATGGATGATAAGCTGATACGGAACAATCATCTAATGGATTCTTATTGGTATCAGATGATGGTGATGGTGATGGTGATGATGATGAAAGAGAAGTATAAGGAAAAACAAAAGCAATTGATACTATATAAAAATTAAAAAAAATCATTTAAAATAATTGTTTTTTTTTAACTCACCAGCCCAAATGAGAATACAAGTAAGACAAGCATTTAATGGTGTTCGCCAACGAGGATGTGGATGATGACTGGTTACGTAAAGATACCGATCGATACTCATTGCAGCTAATGTGTAACATGTTGTTTGAAGAAGGACCTTTAAAATTATATTGAACGTTTTTATTCGATATAATGATTGAAAATTTTTCATTGTTTTTTTTATTTTACAAAGAAATTTTATTTTTATATAGAAATTCAACAAAATTCTAACACCGAAATATGTCAGCATGTTTTCCATGCCAAATCCGTTACTTTTTTTAAAATGCCTGTCGCGTATATGCAACATGTCATGAATCTGTTGTAAAAGAGTAATTAAAAGAAAGTCAGATTTCATGTTTTATATTTCCTTGATAATTTGAATTTAGTTGTTGATAGTCAACATAGATTTGTTATCTTTAATATCAATCAGATTTTAATTGTCACTTTATGAGAACACAATATGAATATATTTTTAATAGTCTGTCAACAATAATCTTATCTTTGTAAATTTCTGAAAAACTTATAAGAATATCAATAAAATTGCTGAAAATATTCTATTTATCATTGCTTCGAATTGTATAAATTTAAAAAATATAATGTTTTTCATTCAAATTTTCTCCTTGAGTTGTGCTTGTTTATGCGAAGATTCATGAAGTAGGTCTTCAGTTAAAGTGAGTTAATTTTCATTCCTTGCTTTATCTTTAAAAGTCTAGTTGGGCACATTTCTATGCCGCTTTCATCAAATTACAGAGCACTACTACTTAGAACAAAGAAAAATATTACACATCAATACATCTGAATTCTCTCGGAATAGCAAATGTTAATATGCATTTTCCATTCTGATAGAATTACAAATATAGAATAAACTGAGCACAAAACAATATTAGGTCAACATAACATATTTAGATTTTCGACTTACGTGAGCAAGATAAATATGAACACGACAACTAACAAAACTATTGAGAATCCATGTATTTGTTAAACCCAAATAAGTGGTAAGTGGAACAGAAATCAGTAAAAATAATAGATCAGTTATAGCTAGGTTAACTATATAACAATTAGTAACGCATTTATAATTTTGTTTTCGTAGAGCAACAATAAGAACAGTCAAGTTACCTAATTTATAATTATATAATCAGATTTCTTAATCCAATTAATGAACTTACCAATAACTCCTAAAATACAAATACAAGCAAAACTAACTGCCATTATAATTCTCGAAAATGAATTAAAAACAATATCATCATTATATAAGGTTTCATTGAATGTCATTTTTTTCTATCTAAATAAGAAACAAAACAGATTGTAATGATTGTATCTTACATCATGTCTTTTTTCTCATTCGAATATAAAATGATGCCAAAGAAGAAGAAGAAGAAGAAAAACTTGAGATATACTCTGTTTTATTAATAATTTCATTGGTTGAAAAATTCTTACTTACTATCATCTTGTTAGACTTCCTCATTAGAGTATAGATTTCAGGAAAGAAAAGATTTTTAAATTAAAAATCTATAACAGCAATAATACTATTTTTGGTATTTAACTATTATCGTCAATGTATCTGCAATGTTATATCAAACAGAAAGAAATTAGTTTTAATATTATTTGTAAACAATAAAACAGTGTTACTCACA